AATTGATGAATGTATTGACGTCAGCGCAATACGGCTTTACGAAAGGGCGATCCTGCATCACTAACTTAATGTACGCAAACCACCCGCGGGTACGAGCTCTCAACGAAAGGAAGGATGTTGACGTAAGTAAGGCGTTTGACAGAGTGAACGAGGAGGTACTGCTTCGCAAACTGAGGATCTACGGAACCGGTGGCACGCCACTTCAGTGGTTACACGAGTTTATTGTGGGACGAAAGTTTAGAGTACATGTCAATGACTACCTGACAGACTGGTTCCCATCGACCAGTGGCGTGCCTCAAGCAACTGTATTTGGGCCAGTACCATTTCTTATTCATATCCATGATCTCCCGCAGCAGCCCCAGTCACCATGTGCACTGTTGGTAGATGATTCAAAAATCTGAAGAATCATTGAGAACCAGGACGACTGCTCTCGCCTCCAGCATGACTTAGATCGACTGTCAACGTGGTCCACTGAAATGTAACTCCCACTTAATGCAAGCAAGTCGGAGTTCATCAGTATCACCAGACGTAAAGCCACTTGACCATACACTTCGGACGGCCAATTTCTCCACCTTAACACATCTGTCAGAGATTTGGGAGTGCTCCCGCGACATGATATGAGATCACTAGAAAATACCGAGGAATTGTATCCGTGCGGGACTTTGTATGCTCTGGGCAATACGACGCAGTTTCTCCACATGGTCTGAAGAAACCGTCCCTCGGCTATTCACTTCGCTCATTAAATCAATCCTTGAATACGGCGCCCCAGCTTACCATCGGACAACCCAGTAGAAAACTGAAAAGCTGGGGAAAATACAGCACATCGCAACTAGAATGATATCCAGTCTATGAAAGCTTCAGTACGAAAAAAGTTGTGAAAGGCTCGGACTCTACACACTATCCTACCGCCGAGTAAGAATTGACCTCATCATAACCCATCAAGTACTACACCTGGATCACTTCCCCATAATGCGGCCAATATTTCATCTGCGGGAACTCTGTAACACCCGAGGACACCGTTACAAACTCATGGTCCCATGCATGAACAGGATATCACATCAGCTTTGTATAGAACAAAAAATCGTAAACTGATGGAACACACTACCAGAAGGACTAATAGATACCGATTCTGAGAAGTTTCAAAACACGCGTCGATGAATATTTTGGGAAGCTGTGCTTCTGTGAAACGGTGCACATACATCCTATACCCGGGAATAATGACACCAATACGAATTCCTAACCGAAGAAGAATAAACGATCAACCGAACAAAAACTACCGCTGATGGTTCGCAATTAAATGTTTTTGATTTTTCATAATTCGATAGCGTCGTACAGAAACCTTTCTACCTGCTCTTAAATACAGTCTCAGACTCTCAGAATACTCCGAGGCTATTTGAAGCGCAAAGAGCATTTTCAGAACTCTTCGAAACGGCAGGTGTGTTGTATCGATGGGATACCCCCACCAGTGCTAGATGCGCTATTCCACTTGGTGCAACGAGTATGGGTCGAAGAACGTGCGCCAGTTGAGCCAAGTGATACCCTCGTGATACTACCGTGCAGGGGCAAAGGAAGTGAGCAAGTTGCCTAGAGCTATCGTGATATCAGCTTGCCAAGTTGTTCGATCGCTTCATCACTCAGGCCATTGAAGCAAACGTAGATGAAGAGCGGTGTGGCTTCGGTTCCGGCCGCACCACGATAGATTGGCGTTTACGGTTCAACATTTGAAGGAAACGTACCGTGAGCGAAATCAATGATTGTGTTCTCTGTGTATCAACTACACCGATTTGTTAAGATAAGCCAAGAGACACTGTGGTTGGCGTTAGGCAAGTCTGGTTGTCCAGGTAAGTTCGTTAAACTTATTGGATACTTACAATGTGGTATGCGGGCGAGGGTGCAGCTATGTGGACAAACGGATGACTTTGATATAATCCGTGGCGTGAAGCAAAACTGTATCTTAGCCCATACCCTGTTTAGTATTTAGATAACTTTCTTGCTGTTCAATATTTTCAATGCCCTAAATAGGTGTAGATTTCGAGCACCGTATCGATAGTTGGCTGGTGAACATTTTTGCTTTCAAGAAGAGAACGCGGGTGTGTGATACAACCATCCGGATGTTATTTATTGTAGACGGCTGCGTGTTGTTTGCGCACAGTGAGGCTAAGTTCCAACCTTTAGGGACGGCTCTCGATTCGATAGCCGCCAGGTTCGGACTCACGATCAACACAGATAAACTGTCTCAATTTCAACCGTCACCAGATGTGGAGTCTGTGAACCAAACCAAGAATGCTGGATAAGTTTTGGAGACCTCATCAATATTTTGTTACTTCGGGAGCACGTTGTTCACAAACTTGTAAATGCCCAGTGAATGCGCACCCGCGTATCGAAAGCGCATGCAACTTTCGGCAAGCTAGAACATAGGATGTGCGGAGTCACCAGCAGAGGTTTGGAACCAAGTTGAAATATACACATAAATGGTGTTGTCGATCCTCTTCTACGGTAGTCAAATAGGGACGCTGTACGGGAAAGACATTCGGTATGTGAAATGATTTCATCATCGATGGCTGAGTTGGATTCGGTGCATTCGTTGGTGTGACAGAGTTGCTGAGACGGAAATGTTTCGCCGAAGTGCCGTGTATACATTGAACTGTATACCTCTGCTCCGACACCTGAGGTGGCTCGGACATGTCCGTGGTATAGATTCGACGAGGATACCGAAACACCTGCTATATGGCCAAATTGGTACAGAGAAGCGGAAAGTGGGCAAACCGAAGCTGCGCAATCAGGATATGATTAGGGTGCGTTTATCACAAACTAACACCGACTTTAAGCGTTAGGAAGCAATGTTAGTGAATCGCCGCCAATGGTGTGATCGCATCAAAAGTGCCATTGTCCAGTTTCACGAGAAAAGAGGAAAAACCCCGACTAAGCAAGCGCCGACGGAGCCTGGTCTGTCTACATCATGCATCTGCCGACGAAACACACAAACGGTCGTGTTTGCTTCAGTCGAACCGGTTCTCGTAAGTCATCAAAGTGGCCTAGAGGGGCCAATATCGAAAAGGCAACGGGTAGGTTAAATGGGAAAGTGTCAGCGCATGGTAAGTGCGGTGCCTCCGGCTTCATTTAATAACTCGTGCCAACAATGCGGCAGACGTGTGTTGCATCATTGCTGCAGTTGATCTGTACATGTGCCTATGTAAGTATATCCCTGGACTGGTTGCACTTGGTACGAATGTTGACAAGGCGCCTATCTATCGAAAATCATTACCTTAATCACTGGCTGCAAAAGAATGTTAGTTGTTGCTGTGGAAGATGAAATACACAGTCTTATTAATGGTGCCAAACTCAAAGATTGTTCCCAAGCAGCATGGAACGGGCTACGGCCTAGACACCGTCCGGTGTGCACATTTCCCCCTAATTTCTCGTGAAGGATCTGCATGTTTGAGGGAGTATGGGCCGGTATCGAATCAATCGAGTCTACCATATGCATGTCTCCGAGCCCTATCCTTTCGGGTTCACAGTGGATATGTGGTGTACGGATTGAGTTGGGGGTAGTGAAGCGCAATACCTTGGTAGGCGCATGCATCAAGTGGTTGTTCGCAGGCGTATTAACAATCAAGTCCGGGATCATATGCTGTCAACTGTATGCACATTGGGTAACTAACGGAAGCCCTTTGGAGAGCCCATAGATGATTACCAGTCAGCTTCCACTACTTCGACGCATCGGCATAAACAAACGTTCGTTGTGAGAATTTTGGTATGAGAATACTGGAAACTGGGAACCCTTAGTGATGCCGGGTATAGGCATGCATGATCGTCGACATTTGTAGTGGCTTGACGGTTTCCTCGTTGTAGTGGAAAGATATAATAATAATAATACTATTAATATTAATAATAGCATTCAAGTAGGCAAGGAATCTGATAAAGTTGTGCGTCTTCGGTCCGCCTACCTAACTGTTAGAAAAGCAGTAGAGCCAGCTATTTGGTTTTTATCTGCTGCGCAGATTACTAATGCTCATATTCCTACTCGATAACATATATGCTAGATGTCCACACAAATCGTACAACAATGACTCCCCTTGGATTAGATGAAGAGGAGCAAACTTAAAAGGTTGCACTAAAACGTTTCGCGGCTAGCCATCTGCCCGAATCGGTGTCTAGACACGAAAATTAAGCGAAATAAACAACTGTAAGACACAAGTCCCTTCTGAAATCAGACTGCGGCTGTATTATCAAGTAGCAACAGATAGTGTAAAGAGAAAACAACCCAAATGGAAAAGAAGCCATTGAAATAAATCGGGGCTGGTAAGCCAAACGTAACAGCAAAGCAGTTGGGCACTTATGAGCAACGGTCAATCAGATAAATACCATTATTATGAGAAGCCATTATTATGATAGGTCATAAAGAACAAGCCAGCTCACATTCAAATGTGCAGGACCGATGTGCGAGTGCTTAGGTGACATATTGTCAGATTAAACAAAAAACGAAACAATCAAATGCAAATTCATAATCAGCGCACCAATAGACAACCGTGATGACCATCACGTTATGCCGAGAGCACTGCATCATACATAAGAATGGCCGAAGAAGTGTCTTAAATCTACTGACAACAATCAAGGGCACTGATCTGAATGTCTAATACAACAATTGGGATCGTTGCCATATCTAATTTCGGTGTCTCCTTGACAAAATAAAACTCAGAAAGCATCTTAATACTATCTTATCAAATAAAATAGGATTACAGTCAAACACACTCAAGAACACAAACAGATTGGAGGGACTTTCAGTCGACTGGTATGAGACGTGGAAATTAATACGACCAAAGACAACAGCAAGTTCACAAGTGTTAGAAAAAATTAAGAATCATTAGTTGCGTATCCCTTACAAAGCTCAGTTGTAACCAAATGGGCGAAAAACCCAATCTGGATAGCGATCTTTGTCAAGCGCAACTTGCACACATTTCAATCCACGATAATCGAGTTAAAACAGTATACATACTTACCATTAGGCCACTCCCATCAACTGAGGCTGGAACGTCAACATTACCAGACAAGTGAGGCAAGAAAGCACTGAGTTCCTCACGCAATGGCTTGCTACAAAACTTCTGATAAGCGTTTCCCAAGCCATAATGTTCTATCAAATTTTTCGCGCCCGTAAGCGCAGTCTCAGGAGCCGGGGGCTCGGTTCCCATTAAATAAAATGGTTCACATGGTGCAACGGCCCAATTATGTCCACTGCCAACAATCTTCAGCTTGTTTATCCACAAAGAGGAGCAAACAGCACCTTGCATCGTACCACTGACGGAAGATGTTGGTGTGCCAAGGAGCGAAGGGTTCATATTCCAAGGGGATGTTAGACTGAAAATAGAAACAGTGTCAGCTATAGCGTAAACGCTGTGCTACAACAACTGGTCGATAAGCGCGTTGTATCACTTACCAGAGGGGTGAATTTTGATCAGAGTTGGATTATCAACCTAACTGCAACCTTAGCCTGGTGAACCAATAAAGTGAAATTCAAATGCGGCACTTGGAATGCTCAAGTACTACAAAGATACAGCGGTAAGAAATGGACGGCAGAATTTCTGTTCCCAACCACCCTAGTTAGATCAAATATCAGCAATACGTCAGAACGTACTGCCGGCGATTAGTTAGCATGTAACCACAAGTGGCCGCATGCGAGCTGGCATATCGGGAAGTCGCCCGCACCTAGGTAAGTCCCAATACCAGCACAAATGGATTGTAGGTGATAATAATAGAGTAAAACAGTAGGTTAATACGGTTCAGTTGGGTGGAGCTACTATGATCCTAGCGTCCGTAAAGTGGATCAAACCGCCATGACGCGCGCCCTGCTCGCTATCACTGCCAACAAAAACAGCAATGCACGAGTGCTTTATACTTAATCTGTGCTGCCACACTGCTGAGACTGAATCAGAGGAAGCGGGAACTAGTAGAGTATATACCCCACGAACTACAACTGCGAACAGCCGTAAATCGTGCTGTGATAAAACAGAATTCGCGAGATATCTCCTTTGCAACCCGCTGTGCATCGAGTCCTAATCAAATGAGCTCCATTTACCACTATATATATATATATATATATATATATATATATATATATATATATATGCCGGGAGAGCCTATGGTTCGTATAAGCTGGTGATGGCTAGATGCTGACAGATGGTCTACCCACTGCAGCTACTTTTGTACCATTGGCTCATGTCCTCATGTCGCCTCTTCGTGGCGACCGCTGGGTGGGAGCTGGGTTATCCCCTTCTCTCTGCTAAGATCCAGGACACCAATCCGCATGAGTCAGTGAACTGACCATGTGCTAAACCCGATGCCTTTCGGATGTTCATTTAATCGAAGGCATTAACTGAGGACCCAAGTCGTTCTCCTGTCAGGTGTGGGCGCCCTGCTAGTATCCTACTCCATCCTCTTCGGAGGTTAAGAAGTGGTCGATGGCCCTCTTCCAAGAAAACCTAGACATGGGAGACAACAGGTCTACGGGTTATAAACTCACATCTCGATTGGCGTACAGCACGAGTGCCACGCATTGTCTCTGACGGTGGGAGGGCACCTCCGGGTGTTCCATGGTTTGCTACTGCCCGCCTCAAGCCAGGCAGCCCCTGGTCAAATTGGTGCAAACCCGCCGAAACCCAACTGCGTCTGGCCGTGTCGCAGGTTAATCTTACTACGGTCGCAAAACATATATAAATCGTTCCAGTACCTCCAAGGCTGAGTGTGACGGCCGTCAAGCAGATCCCAATCTGTCTCTGCAATCACATTCCCGAGCTGGATCTGCTCCCCAATGCCTTGTGGGTCAGGCTATTGAGCCAAAGGCTCCTGGTGGAGTCCCTCAAGCAAACCTCCAAACCAACCACTGTTTGTGGGTCAGGCTATCGAGCCAAAGGCTCCGGGTGGAGTAACCCAAGCAAACCTCCGAAGTACAACCGCCACCCGTGCGTGCGGACCAAACTGTACACATGTTTTTGTAAATCTGTGTATTATACTCCCGCCGTGAATCGGCGTAAATTTAACCTTCTCTCCCTCGGTACTGTGGCGAAACCTATTGAGTTGGAGAAGGCGATGGTTGCAAGTCTGCGTAACGTGGACCGCATAATCACAGTAATAATAATAATAATAAATAATGTCAGCTGTACGCCGTAACGGCGCTTCGCTGCCGCGAGACCACCATAATCACAGTAGGCGATCTGTGGTACCACATTCGCGACCAGGTGACAACTGCTGCCGAGGAGACCATCAGGCGCGCAAGCTGTAAGCGGCTTGATTGGTTTGATGACAACAATGCGACGATTGGCGCATTGGTGTCGGAGAAGAATGCAGCATTTGCTACACATGTGGCAGACCCCAGTGACTTAGGGAAGAAGAGTCAGTTTCGAAAACTACGACGGCGACTGACCCGAGAGCTCCGTCGCATAAAAAATGCATGGTGGCCGGAGAAGGCGAAGCAGATGGAATGCTACGCCGAACGCCACCAACACAAGAAATTCTTTGACTCCTTGAAGGTGGTGTATGGACCGAGATTGGAGCCGCAAAGACGCTGATCGATGGTAATTCAGGCGCTACCTGCACACAGACTGCAGACGTAATGAAGATCTGGAGGAAACACTTCGACTGTCTCTTGCACAACCGTTCAGAGATCGACGCCGACTTTGGATAAGATGCAGAGAGCAATTGCTCACCTGCGAAACGGCAAGTGTGAAGGAGCCAACGGGATCCCGCCTGAAGTATTGAAACACAGCGGACCCGCGTTGCTAAATGCGCTGCACCACTTGGTGCAACGCGTATGGATCGAGGAGGAGGTGCCTCCTGAGCTGAAGGATGCCCTTGTGTTACCACTGTACAAGGGTAAAGGGAACAAGCAATGTTGCACGAATTATCGTGGCATCAACTTGCTGAGTTGTGTGGGCAAGGTGATTGCCCGAATCCTGCTCAACCGCCTCATCAGTCAAATTGTGGAACCTGACGTGCCGGAAGAGCAATGTGGATTCCGTTCGGGTCGCAGCACTATAGATATGGTGATTGTGGCTCGTCAGTTGCAGGAGAAGTGCAGAGAACGACACCAGCCATTGTACTCGCTTTTTGTTTATTTCACCAAGGCATTTGATACGGTGAACCGCGACGCATTGTGGCTGGTGTTGGTTGCCCGCGTAAGTTTGTAAGTTTAATTGAATGTCTGCACAGTGGTATGCGAACGAGGGTGCAGCTGAGTGGAGAGACCTCGGATGACTTTGCAGTTGTTTCTGGTGTGAAGCAAGGCTGTGTCTTAGCTCCTGCCCTGTTTAATATATATATATATATATATATATATATATATATATATATATATATATATATATATATGTATATATATATTCATGCAATGATGTCTTGTGCTTTTGATGCCGCTTATGCTCTTGGTGTTCGTATGGAGCACTGTATTGATGGTAGGTTGCTGAACATCCGTCGTTTCGGTGCGAGAACTCTAGTCTGTGAGACAACTATCCGTATGTTGCTGTTTGCTGACGACTGTGCGTTGTTTGCACACAGTGCGGATGAGTTGCAGCACATGACTAGTGCTCTGGCTTCGACAGCGGCCAAATTCGGACTCACAATCAACACAAGCAAAACCGTCTGTCTCTTTCAGCCTTCACCGGATGTGCAATCTTCAATATTTCCGCAAATCAGCATTGGTGCTGAGGTACTGGAAACCACATCCCGCTTCTGCTACCTTGGGAGTGTGATATCGACGGATCAGCAGGTACACAGTGAGCTGCATATCCGCGTGTCAAAGACAGTGGCGGCATTCGGGAAGCTAGAGTACCGAGCGTGGAACAACCATCAGCTTACCATTGGCACGAAGCTGATGGTGTGCAAATTCATGGTGCTGTCCGTTCTATGCGTGCAGAGAAGAAGCGGCAAGTGCGGAAGCGGAAAGCACCGATGGGTTGTACTCCATCGACATCGAGCGCATGGTGCTGTAGCACATGCGGTCGCGAGTGCTTGAGTCAGGCAGGCATAGTGAGGCATGAGCGAAGCCACTCGGGACCACTACCGAAGCGACGACGGGTCCTGCAGAGAACGTAAACAGAACCGGAGCAGCGTCTGTAGGTACGCTGCATGCGATTTACTAACCACGTGCTTGTATGCTATGTTTCTTTATTTCAGGTGGTGGGTTCGCAATTTTGTCCTAATGCTTTTCTTTCTCATGTTGCTTGATATCCCGGTGTGGCTGCGCTTGATGTGCACGTTGACAAGGTGCCTACCTGTATATTACCTACTACCTCGTCCATACTGGCTTTAGGAAACAGTTGGTTGTTGCTGGAGTGGACGGGGTGCACGGTCCCTGTGGCCGTGTTAGGCTCGAAAAGTGGTTACATGCACTCAGTGTGGAGCGGACTATGGTCCAGCCACCGCCTTGTGTGCGCCTGATTCCAAAATACAGCGTGCATGTGTTTGCCTGTGAAGGAGTGTGGGCCGGCTCCGTTGATGAAACGTGGCTCCCATCCACATGCCTCCCGGTCTTATTCCTCCGGGTTTACATTGGATATGGGGGGTGTGGATGGAGTTGTGAGTGGTGCAGCGCAGGCCACCCATGGTCCCGCGGTAGGCGCAGTCGTCCTGTGGCTGGCCACAGTGACAGGCAAATCCGAAACCGGATGCCACCAACCATATATATCGTGTAGTATGCCCATTTTTATTGTATATTGTACGAAGAAACGCAAGCGGTACGCTTAAAGCGAACAATTGTTTTCGATTTATTCATCATCAGGCTTGGTACAGAAATATACGTTCATAGGGTAGTTGTAAGGCTTGTACATGTTGCTTCTGAATGCATAGGTTTGGTTTTTCACCAGTTGATCGTTTTTCCGAGCTTGATTAAGAAATCGCATACATTTCACCACCATGCGAGGTGGCATCTTCAGTGCAGTAATAGGCAGTGTGTAATGCTGCTTAGTGAATTGTCAGTCCGTCATCCACGGGCAGGTGACTTTTGAAGGTGGCGATTTCGATTTGTGCCACGTGATCTCTGCCCATTTGCTTCCACGGCTGAACCAGATCTTGCGATTCGCCGGAGATCTTTCTTTCGGAGTTGATGGTACACGGGGTCAATGTCGATGCGCATGTTGATCGAATTATTAGAGGAGTACCATGCATCTAGGAACTCTCTTTCTTTCTGTGTTGTTGTTTGAGCTAAAATCACTGTATGATTCCAATTGAAGCTATGTCCCTCCTCATCTACATGCGCTGAGACAAGAGACGATGCATAATGTTTTTTTTTACAAGCCCTCTGATGTTCTTGTATTCTTGTGGATAATTTCCTTCCTGTCTGCCCCACGTAGTGCATTTCACAATTA